CGGAACGCAATGGAGGTTCAACCCCCCTTCGTCACCTCATGTCGGTGCTAAATCGGAAACTACCGTAAAGTCCGTAAAATTCCATCTGCATAGAGTTGTGCGCGACTACTTCCTAACGTTCGAAGAATTCGCGACGCTACTGGAACAGGTGGAGCCGTACTAAATTCGTGTCCCTTGTGTCCTCTGTCTGATGATCCGTCCGATGTCGCTGCGTTGACACTTGGACATTTTTTTATTGGAGATTCACTGAAAACCGTACCTGAGCCTGATCTGTCACACGTGTCAAACTCTTGGTTGTCTCGCTGGCAACTACTTCGTCAAATCGTCAATCATTTCTGGCAACGGTGGTCGAGAGAATACCTTCAAAAACTTCAATCCGTTTCTAAGTGGCAGGCACTTCGCGGAACAATTCAAGTAGGGTCTTCAGTTCTCCTCAGGGACGAACGTTTACCTCCATCGAAATGGTCTCTCGCTCGTGTCATCCAGTTGCGTTCAGGAAAAGACAATGTAACTCGAGTCGTTTCTGTCAAAACTACGTCAACCACACTTCTGCGTCCGACTGTTAAATTGTATCCGCTACCGATTGAATGTACCGAAAAGAATTAATGTATTTGTTGCCGGAATCATGTATTCGGCAAGGTGGGCGGTGATGTTGCCGCGATCAGCGTCGATAACGTAGTAACCTGTATCGCCTAAATAGGTGTCTCGTGGTTCGCGTTTTGTTCACCGTCGTCTCTAGGCTCGACGGTACCCCCCTCGCGTTTGTATACACTTATGGTTCGGGTAAAACATCCGTATTTCACTCTAGAATGTGCCCTGGAACGGATGTTGAGGAATTGAATGCAAAAACTCCAACGGCTGCGTCGACCACCAAATCATCAAAGTGTGTACAGTGAATGGCCTTCCTTCCGGGATTATTTTACGTCTTTAATCATCAACGTGCTATCACTGTCGGATCTTTCGAGATTGCACTATCTCAAGGGCTGTCTTAAGGTAGAGCCCGCCTTGTTTCTTAAGCGGCTCCCCGTCACTAAATGCAATTTTAAGAAAGCGTGGGGCAAGCTTATGTCTTGCTACTAGAGTAAGCGTAAGCTGGTCCGCTCGCAAATAAAGACGTTGACATCCATACCCGCTGTTAATGGGGAGTCGTCCGACCATTTTTTCTCTCCCCCTTGTAAGCCCCCCTCACCCCCGTCATTCAACCGTCTCGCGATGTGTATAAACAGATATAAACAAATTCCAATAAGTAAATATGTCGGTGACGACAACAGGATAGGCCCACCGAGTATACATAGATGTTCTTTCCTTAGGAAAAGCCACCCCCCAGAGGCGAAGAACGAAATGTTATAATGCAATCTTTTGCTTTTTAAAATAATAGAATATAATTTTTCTTAACATTGGTAGAAGTAATTTAATATTCAACATATTTTACATCGTCAGAAAAGAATTAGATGAAATCAATTAGATGAAATTCTTACAGTACTATCTAAAACTAAAGTTTAATAATAGAAATTCTTTGCTATATGGGAAAGTTATAATCTAATAAGTTAAACTGGCATATTTATAAGAACGAAACATTTTTCCTTTATTCCTACTAACAATTTATTGAATTATTATATTTCAGGGAGTTTATGGAAGGACTGGTTTCTTTTTTGATAATTTTGAAGGTTTGCCAGACTCATTCCCATTTGGCAAGTATTTACTAAATATTACACTAATGAACGAAAAGGTTTTATTAGTTCAGATCCATTTTTACTTTACAGTACTATGATTTATTGTACAATACATTCCTGTAGTAATTGTTACAATGTTTACGTATATAAAAATTGAGAAATAGATATGAGTTTGCAAATGTAAATGGTAATTAATTTTGTTGCCGTAAATATCCCCACCAGCATGTTCATTGCCGTACAGATTTTAAGTTTATTGTGTTATTTGTAATTTCTATGATTAAGTAGTATAAATTGACATTAATAACACTGGTCAACATAAATTGTGTCCCAAAGAACAATTATACTGATTTGTATAGATTTTTTTGTGCTGAATACGAATCCGTAAACAATTTTTTGTCATCACCCTCAATTTAAAAAAAAATGCAAATTTTCAACTTTGAACATTTCCTGTGTTCAAACATTAATAGTTATTCAGTTGATTGTTACGTCAAATTATTCTGTAAACTCTCCCGAATAAAATGGTATACGTTATTATCGCATTATCAACATTTAACCACGTTTAAACAACGATCAAAGGGAAATGGACACCCAAAATGCACTCATTTTTACAGATTTTTTTCAATTTATTTCAAAAAGTAAGGGTACATGACATAATTTGACTGTGTCAACAGATACAGTATACATTTGTCTTCCGGAAAGCATTAACAGAAATGATAAGACATGTTTTGTGTTCAATACAGGAGCGAAATAGTTTAGTACAACCTGCAACGCTGGCAGTGGTACTCAAAGGCGGCAAGCGCAGACGTTCAATTTTGGACAGGCGCGTCGCCTTTGAGTACCACTGTCAGCGTCGAGGATTTTACTAAACTATTTCGCTCCTGTATTGAACACAAAACATGTCTTACCATTTCTATTTCAAAGTTCAGCCTATGTAAATGTTAATAAAAACGGTGTATATTCTCCCGCATCTAGATTTGATAAACTATTTATGAAACTTCGTCTATTCTGAATTTATCTATTACAAATATCCAAATGTAAGGCAAGATATAAAAACGAATAAAAGAAGAACATGTAAAAAGTAACATTACTAAAATGTCCATTAACGATGCATTTAGAATAAATTGTCTTGTAGTTAAGGGGGGAATTAATTAGTTAAGGGTCTAGTAATTAAGTGTATAAGAGGTATTTGTTAAATTTTCACTATAGGATCAGAAAAAAAATGAAAAAAGAACTTCTTAATATTTTTACTATTTTCTTTGCTATTCCAACAATTGTAATGTTTTCGAAATAACGAAAACATGTCATCTAATAAGTTAATCCTTCTAGCTTCTCAAAAAAACTCAAGTCGTTTGGTTCAATTTTTAAAACAAAATACGTACTGGAACAGGTGCAGACGCAGCGAAGATGATACGCTAAGTACGCATGCGACAGCAATCAGTTGTTAGTACAAAATCTATCTCCGCTGGGCGACGAATGAAAGATTGACAGAGCGTATGCGATTAATTGTGTTCCTTTTGTGTCTCTTTTATGAAATATTTGTGTAAGTATATAACACCTGCGTCAATTATGTCAATAAAAAATAAATAAATATCATTTCCAACAAGAGATTTGTATAGTATTCCATGTTTTTCGTATGTGGAATACCCGGAATATATATTGTGCCATTTTTACAATTTGTTTCTCGAGAATATCATGTCAAGTATCTCGTATGTAATTTCATTAATTAAAAAAATAAGCATCATTGCAAGTACGAATAAGAAGGTTCATCCTTGCACACATTAGTACGTATTGTTTAATTCT